AGGCCCGAAACGTCAGCCTCTCTGCTCCTATGATGCTGCTTGGCCTGCTGTGTTCATCCAGCCCTGCACCTTGTTGTCTCAGACAAACAGAATGTTGGCTTTCATTGCTAGAAGGAATGAATTTAATAGCAGGGAGGTTCTGCTGTAATTGTACAAGGTGCTGGTGAGGCCATACCTAGAATATTATGCAAAGTTCTGGTCTCCGACCTCGAGGAATGATATACTGACTTTGGAGGCGGTGCAGAGGAGGTTCACCAGGCTGATTCCGGAGATAAGGGAGCCACCCTATGAGGAAAGGTTGAGCCACCTGGGACTGTACTCACTAGAATTTAGAAAAATGAAAGGGGATCTTATAGAAACATATAAAATTATGAAACGGATAGGTAAGATAGAGGCAGACAAGTTGTTTCCACTGGTGGGAGAGACTAGGACTAGGGGACATAGTCTCAAGATTAGGGGGAGTAGATTTAGGACAAAGATGAGGAGGAATTGCTTTTTGCAGAATGTGGTGAATCTATGAAATTCTCTGCCCAAGGAAGCATTAGAGGCAGCTTCATTAAATTTATTTAAGACAGAGTTGGATAGATTTTTGTACGGTAGAGGGATTAAGGGTTATGGGGATAATGCAGGTGGGAACAGCTGAAACCACGGATAGATCAGCCATGATTTTATTGAATGGCAGAGCAGGCCATTCAATAAATGGGCTGAATGGCCTACTCCTGTTTCTATCTCTTATGAACTTATGACCATGTCCACCCCAGTCCAACACCGGCACCCCCACATCAACAGAGAATCTAACCATTGTTCCTTGACACTCAATGGCATCATCATCACTGTATCCCTCACTAACAACACTCTGGAGGTTAATATTAACCAGAAACTGAACTGGACTAGCCATGCAAATACATTGACTTCAGAAGTAAGTAAGAGCTAGGAATTCTGTAGCAAGTAACTCATCTCCAAACTTCCCAAGTCCACCATCTACAAGACATAAATCATAATTTGGTGGAATACTCTCCACTTGCCTTGATGGGCGCAGCTCCCTCAATAACACTCAGGTAACTTGACACTATCCAGGAAAAAGCAGTTCATTTGATTCGCACCACATGCACAAACATCCACTCACACTATCACTGACAGTCAGTAGCAGTAGTGTGTACGTTCTACAAAATTCAGCAAAACCCTTAGACATCACCTTCCAACTCATGTCCACTTCCATCCTGAAGGACAAGGAAAATAGATACATAGTTTCCCCTTCAAGCCACTCACCATGCTGACTTGGATATATATTGCTGTTCCTTCACTGATGCTGGGTCAACATCCTAGAACTCCCTCCCTAACGGTATTGTGGGTCTACCTACAGTACGTGGACTACAGCTGTTCAAGAAGGCTGCTCGCTACCACTTTTTCAAGGGCAACTTGGGACAGGAAATAAACGCTGGCCAGCCAGGAACATCCATGTACCATGAGTAATTTAAAAAAATAGATCAATCCACTTCTTGTTGTTAACCAAATCTCCCTTTGAACACTCTCTTCACCCAGAGAGTGGTGAATCTATGGAATCTTTTGGCAATGCAAGAGGTTGAGGCCAAAACTTTGAATGTTTTCAAGGAGGTGGATAAAATTCTTGGGGCTAAAGTGTTAAAATAGTGTGGGGAAATTGAGCGAACAGAGTTGGATGAGCAGTCATGATCATATTGAATGGCGGAGAGACTTGAAGGGCTGAATGGCCTACTCTTATTCCTATTTTCTATGTTTCTACAACTCTTCACCTCCATCTTACTTGCAAACTGCATTTCAATGACTGCTGGAACCAGCATCTGTATAAAGAGTACTTACAGTGAGCGTCAGGACATGCAGCAATCCTTGTTTCTTTAAAACAGTTCTTCTCCCATTTCAGTCCGCTATCAAAAATACAGAACAAATAAAAAGACACTGTCTTTACACCTGGTACAGGGGGTAACATATTAGCATAGATAGAAGGTTGACTAGCTGGCAAATAACAGGGAGCATGCATAACTGGCATAAATGCAAATCTTTGTCTGATTGGCAGGATGGGATGAATGGAGTTCAGCAGGAGTCTGTGCTAGGCCGCCACATTTTACAATTTAAATCAATGACTTAGATGAGGGGAGTGAAGGCATGGCAGCTAAACTTGCAGACAACACTAAGTGAAACAGAGATAACACAGTGTGGAGCTGGAGGAACACAGCTAGTCAGGCAGCATCAGAGGAGCAGGAAAGTTGATGTTTTGGGTTGGGACCCTTCTTCAGAAATGGGGGAAGGGGGAAAGGAGCTCCGAAATAAATAGAGGAGGTGTGGGGCTGGGGAAAGTAGTTGCATTGGTGATAGGTGAGTGCAGGTAGGCAGTAGTGGGGATTTGTCAATGGGAAGGGTGGGGCAGATAGGTGGGAGAGAAGATGGACAGGTTGTGTCAGGCCAAGGAGGTGGGGATGAGAGGGACGGTTGGTCATGGGATGATGGTGGGGAGATTTTGAAACTGGTAAACTCCACTTTGAGACCATTGGGTTATAGGGTCCCAAGGCGAAATATGAGGTGCTGCTCCTCCAGTTTGCAGGTGGTGTCATTGTGACACTGCAGGAGGCCCAGGATGGACATGTCGCCCAGGGAGTGGGAGGGGGGAGTTGAAATGGTTAGCGACCGGAAGGTGTTGTCATTTGTCGCATTCAGAACGCAGGTACTCTACAAAGCGGTCTGGGCGACATGTCCATCCTGGGCCCCCTCCAGTGTAACAATGACACCACCCGGAAACTGGAACAGCAACACCTCATATTCCGCCTTGCGAGCCTACAACCCAATGGTCTCAAAGTGGAGTTTACCAGTTTCAAAATCTCCCCACTCCCTGGCCTCATCCCATGACCAACCCTCCCTCTCAACTCCGCCTTCTCTCCCACCTATCCGCCCCACCCACCTCACTGACCAAACCCCACCACTCCCTACCTGCTCTCACCTATCACCATCCCACCTACCTTCCCCAGCCCCACCCCGCCTCTCTCTATTTATTTCGGAGCTGCCTTTCCCCTCCCCCATTTCTGAAGAAAGGTCCCGACCCGAAACATCAACTTTCCTGCTCCTCTGATGCTGCCTGGCCTGCTGTGTTCCTCCAGCTCCACACTGTGTTATCTGATTCCAGCATCAATTCTTGTTATCTCTGACTAAGTGAAACAGTATGTTATGAAAAGGCCTGGATAGGTTAAGTGGGCAAAAAAAAATCTGGCATATGGAGTGTAATGTGGGAAAAGTAAGGTTGTTTGCTTTGGCAGGAAGAATGAAAAAGCAGAGTATTATTTAAATGGAGGAAGACTACAGAATTCAAAGGTGCTGAGGAATTCAGGTGCTCTCGTGAGACAGGATGCAGGCCTGCTGTAGTGTTCCAGCAAACCTCAGTGCAAGCTCAAAGAACAGCAACAGAACAGGTCTGGCAGCATCTGTGAAGATAAAACCAGAGTTAACGTTTCGGGTCCGGTGACCCTTCCTCGGAACTGCCAGACCTGCTGAGCTTTTCCAGCAACTTGTGTTTTTGTTCCTGATTTACAGCATCCACAGTTCTTTCAGTTCTCAAAGAACAGCATCTCTCTTTCTGCGAGGGGACACTGCAGCCTTCAGGACTCAACATCAAGTTCAATAGCTTTAGGTCTGCAGAGCTTTTCCAGCAACTTTGTTTTTTTTCAATAGCTTTAGAACCTGATCACACCCCCACACCTAGTCCTGTTATGACATGCACAGCTTACCAATTCTCACCCATTCTCAGCTCTCATTATCACATATTCAACTTCTCTTCTGCCCTGGTTCATTACCGACAATTCCCTTTAAGCCTATCCCTTTCATTTCACACTCTCTGGGCTCCGTCTCCACCTATCTGCTTACCTCCTCCTCCTCCATCAGCACAAATACCACCTTTTCTAGATGCTAACTGTTTTGGACTCAAGACAGTCACTGGACTCAAAACATTAACTCTGCTTTCTCCCTACAGATGCTGCCAGACCTGTTAAGTTTCTCAAACACTGTGTGCAGTTTTGGTCTCTTTATTTAAAAGATCAATAAATGCATTGGTTACAGTTCATTTTATTAGATTGTCAGATTGATACCTGGAACAAGTAGGTTGTCTATATGGGGAAGAGTTGGACAGACTGGGCTGTTTGCAGGGGAAATTAGAGGTGACTTAATGAAAATGCAGAAGTTCCTGAAAGGTCTTGAAAAGGTGGACGTGGAAATGATTGTTCCCTCCTGTGGGTGAGTCCAGAACCAGGAAGCACTGTGTAAAATTTAAGGGCTGACCTTTCAAAGCAGAGATGAGGAGAATTCTTTTCCCTCTTGGAACTCTGCCTCAGAAGGGGCTGGAGGCTGGAGGCATTAAATAATTTTAAGATGGACAGTTTTTTTTGAAGAGAGAAAAACAGTTAATGCTTTGAGTCCCCCTCAAAACTGAAGAGAGGAAATCCTGAAGAGTCCTACCGGACTAGAAACATTAACTCTGTTTCTCTCCCCACAGATGCTGCCAGACCTGCTGAGTTTCTCCAGAAATTTCTGGGTTTCGTTCAGAATTCCTGCATCACAGTATTTTGAGTGAATAGATTCTTGTTGGTCAGGGCATTAAGGGGTAGACGGAATATGAAAGTCAAAAAATAATCAGATCTTATTGAAGTGTGGGGCAGGTTCGAGGGGCAGAATGGCTCCTTCAGTTTCCAAGATCCCCTCCATCCCTCCCTCTTCCCGTTCCCCGCTCCTCTTTCCAAGTCTCTCTATATATCCTGTCTGTTTCCTTCACTCTCCCGTTATCTCTTTCCCTCTCTTCTTTCTCCCCTTTCTCCCACCTCTTCTTCTCTCTCTTTTTAACTCCTCTTTCACCCCTCCTCAATCTTTCTTTCTCTTTCACTCTCTCTCCCTCTCCCTTTATCCCTCCCTCTGTCTCTTACCACCCCCCACCCTACTCCATTCCCCCGTGCTCCTCCTCCCACTCCCCCCTCCTGCTCTCGGGTCGGATCGTTCTCTCGTTCGGAAGCTGTAGCAGCTCAGGTCCCGGGGCTCCGTCACCATGGGCAATGTATCGGGCGGAATGAGATGTATGAAGTATCTGCTGTTCACGTTCAATCTCTTCTTCTGGGTGAGTGACCGGGGAGAGGGGGAAGGAGAAATAGACAGAAAGAGGAACCGAGAGGGAGAGAGAGACACAGAAGTAGGAGAGTTAGAGCGATGCAGCACCGAGAGCAGTTTTTCGGCCCTTCGCCTCCGTGCCGTCTCTTTGAGAGGGAGAGCCCGCCCATTCTGTTCGCCCACAGCCAGCTCAGTGTTTCCTGCAGTCCCCGCTTTGAGAGTTCCGACTGAGTCCGATCAAACGGTGCACTCACTACACCACTCACTGACTATATTACGTCTCTCTCATGTTTCCGGGGCAGTTTGCAAAGCGTTTACTTTGACTCCGTTTCCTCTGGTTAAGATATAGCTCTTTGGCAGAATACGAAATCCAGAGCAGTTTGAGCTGATGTACTGTGTTTGGACTTCTCTCTCTAATCTCGACTCTCAGCCCCAGCACCTTCACCAAACTGTACCCTCTCCTCCCTACTCTCAGTTCAGTAAATTCCCTCCACCACCTTAACCAGGGATGTACTGCTGAGCCTGTATAAGACTCTGGTCAGACTGCATTTGGAATATTGGGAGCAGTTTTGGACCTCCTATCTAAGGAAAGATGTGCTGGCGTTGGGTGGGGGAAGTGGGGGTCCAAAGAAGGTTTACAAGAATGATCCTGGGAATGAAGGGCTTGTCATATGAGGAAGTTTGAGGACTCTGGGTCTGTACTTGGAGTTTAGAAAGATGATGAGGAATCTCATTGAAACTTACAGAACATTGAGAGACCTGCATAGACTGGACGTGGAGAAGATGTTTCCACCAGTAGGAAGGCTAGGACAACCCTTTAGAACTGATATGAGGAAGAATTTGTTCAACCAGAGGGTGATGAATCTGTGGAACTCATTGCTGCAGAAGGCTGTGGAGACAACGTCATTGAGTGTGTTTAAGACAGAAGTTCTTGATTGGTAAGGGGATCAAGGGTTATGGGGAGAAGGCAGGAATATGAGGGTTCAGAAACATTTCAAATGTCACAGCAGATTTGATGGGCCAAATGGCCTAGTTTCTACTCCTGTATCTTATGGTCATAAGCTTCTTCCTACATTTGCTGTAGAAATGGACAAACACTGAGCTGCAACCTAACCAGCGTTTAATAGGTCTTTTAAAAAAACTGATTTTCCTTCTCAGCTGGTCCTACTGCCTTCAATGGTTTGTGAAGATCCACTTGCTGATCTTCCTGGTCCCACACTTCCTTTCATACCTTACCATTTTCTGATTCTTCATATCAGAAGGTGTGGCTTCACACCTTTCCATTAAATTGAATGCATCACGTGTCTGTCTATTTCACCAACTTAACAAGCACTTTCGGAAAGACGAAAAGGCTGAGTATTTCCAACATTCTTTTGAATGGGTTCGACTGAGGCATTCAAGAGGGTATTGAATGATTATAAGAATAGAAATAATGTGCATGGAGGAAAAAGCAGGAGATGGCAGGAGATAGTGATGCTCATTTGAAGAGCTGGTATCGACTTGATGGACTGAATACCTGTTGCTGTGCTGGCATACTTTAGTGATTCTGTTTCCAGGTCCGATTTTCAGTAGCCATAGAATTTCAGACCTGCTGAAGTCTGTAGCTATGCTTCTGACTGTTTCATACACTACTGCACATTGAATGTCTGGAAAACAGCCTTTCACCAGTGTACCCTGCTTTCTATCTCAAGTCTATTAATAACATAACTGTTAAGTGGGATTTTGTCACTTGGAAGCCTGTATCCCCTGATGAAAACCATTTCCTTCATTATTCATGTCTTTTCTGAGCACTCCTTATGTATTCTTATTACTGCATTTAGTTTGAGGAGAGTCTGGCTTATATTTGCTGGAGTTAAAAAGAATGTGATGGGGTCTCACTTAAATGTATACAATTCTGACAGGGCTGGACAGTTAGGATGCAGGGATAGCAAGAACTGCAGATGTTGGAGTCAGAGATAACACAGTGTGTAGCTGGAGGAGCACAGCAGGCCAGGCAGCATCAGAGGAGCAGGAAAGTTGACATTTTGGGTTTGGGACCCTTCTTCAGAATTGATTTCTGAAGAAGGGTCCCGACCCGAAAAGTCAACTTTCCTGCTCCTCTGATGCTGCCTGCCCTGCTGTGCTCCTTCAGCTACACACTGTGTTATCTGGGATGCAGGGATGATGTTTCCCCTGGCCAGGCAGATCCAGACAAGTGATCATAGTTTCAGGATACAGGGCAGGCCATTTTGGACTGAGAATCTCAGGATCATACAGTACAGAAGAGGCCCTTAGACCCATCGGGTCTCTACTGCCAAAACTGTGCTAAATCTACAGTAGTCCCATTTTCCAGCATCAGGTCCATTGTCCTGAATGTTATGAATCTTCAACTGCTTATCCAAGTATTTTTTAAAGATTGTTTCAGAGATAGCCTTCCTGCTCCTCTGATGCTGCTTGGCCAGCTGTGTTCATCTAGCTCTACACCTTGTTATCTCATTTTTTAAAGGTTGTAAGGTTTCCCAACTCAGTTAGCCTGTGTCCACCCACCCCAGGCAGTGCATTCTAGATGTTTATCACCCTCTGGGTGTAAAAGATTTTCCTCAAATCTCCTCTAAACCTGCCTTTCACCTTGAGGAGAAATTTTTTTCATGTGGAGGGTGGTGAACCTGTGAAACCCACTACCCCAGAAGGCTTTGGAGGCCAAGTCACTGAATATATTTAAGAAAGAGATAGATTTCTAAAAGCTAAAGGTGTCAAGGGGTATGGGGAGAGTGTTGGAGTATGTTGTTGAAATAGAGTGTCAGCTATGATCGCAGGGCTGAATGACCTACTGCTATTTTCTATGTTTCAATTTTTATCATTTTACTTCCAATAATTTTCTTTTATGCACCCTCTCTTATGGCAATGAAAACATACTCGTTTATTTTCTATATTCCTTTTCAATACCCTGAACAGCTTCACCTTCTCCCCGAAGCCGCATTCTTGCCAATTCCACCAGTGCCTCTGTTGGTTTCCATGTGACAACTCCCGAACCCTTAGCTAACTGAGCAAAATATCATGTATAACCACCTCTTTGACTTTAGATATGTGACTTTTTTTTCAAATAGAATTGTTCAAATAAAAAGTGTTACTAGAGTGCTAATGACAAATTCTTCCACAATTATGATTTCTCTCACATTTTCAAAAGTTTGCTGTAATTTCAACAAAAACAATCTGATATTTTCTTTATCTCTAGTGAATTCAAAATGCTGGACTGGGTTTCATCTTTGCTGTTCTAACCTTTAATTGGTAAGCTACAGGAACGAGCTGATAGGTTTTAAGTACCACAGTTCCCTCTGTTTTATAATCTGAAGAATGTTCTTCTGAAAGACTGGAATAAACATGCATCACTTTAATAGTCAGGGTACTTAGTAGCACAAGAGTCTTGGAGTGCTTTGGTTGCTAAAAGATTTTAGCAACTTTCTCAAACAGAGGAAAGTATCTTTAGGAACAGAAGGAAGATTTTTATTAAATCTGACTTCCAAATGGGACTTCCCTCCTCATCTGAAGTACTCGACTCACTTTCTTGTCATAACCTAAATTTTCTGTTTTCTATCTCATGATTTCTCATTTGTCTCTCCCCTTAAAGTTAAGGTCAAACATTTGCTTCCCCTTCTATCTCAAACTTTGTGTTTATCTCAAGTTCTGTAACTGAATTCTGATCAACTCAGGCTGTGTTTCACCTATCTTAGATTCTTCCTCTTCCTGTCTGGGATGCTATACTTTCACCTCAATTATGTCTGCTTTTTTATCCCTGTTTTTAACTCCAACTTTTCTGCTAATGCTATTAACCTGATCTGGTCATTGTTTTCAAATCACTCAGGGATAGACGTGTCTTCCCAGAAAATTTGTAGGAACTGACAAAGCCATTTTGATTTTCAATATGTACAGTTCACCATGAAAATTTTAACTGGGCCAAACTGTAACAAGTCCCAACATTCATATTGATCCATAGATTACAAATCCCGCATGAACCCCTAAATTATGTTATGATCCCAGATCAGTCCACCAAATTTATTATTATGATTCCAAGAGACCACAGATCAGCAAATTATGTTATGATCTCGTTAACTTTATTTGTAAAGATACGATCGGGTCATATTCCGTATAAAGTCACATGATTCCATGGTTCTGAACAAACAATAATGTTTGATCATAAAAATTACAGCAGTAACACAATCTTCAATATAAGTACAACTCATTTCAGTCAGCCAGAATGAATTAATATGTGATATACATGGGTTATAGATGATGTTCAAACACCTCATAGCATACATTGAGCTATCAAATGTGATCAAGAGAGACTCTATGGATTTCTGAATAGCATGCCCTAGATGTTAACAACACCACGGTTCACTAAATCTCATTAAACTTCACAAGAGATTATAATTCTTCACTTTTGCCGATTTGGCCTTGAAACTGTCTCTCAAGAGCTGCTCCATATGGACTGCCTCAAAGACTGCTCCTATTCTGTTCAATCACCCTCCTATCTTCGGTCTACACTCCCATGGAATCCAGCCACTGTATTCCAATACTTATTTACAGGCACAACTCCAGCTTTTCACTGACAGCTAGTTTCACTAAATTGAAGGGGCAGCAAGGTAGCTCAGTGGTTAGCATTACTGCCTCACAGTGCTAGGGACCTGGGTTTGATTCCACCCTCAGGCAACTGCCTGTGTGGAGTTTGCACTTTCTCCCCATGTCTGTGTGGGTTTTCTCTGGGTGCTCTGGATTGGTATTACTAAATTGCCCATAGTGTTGAGGGATGTGTAGATTAGGTGGGTGGGCTGCTCTGAGGGTCAGTGTGGGCTGAAGGACCTGTTTCCACTCTGTTGGGATCCTATATAATAATAATACATGTTCCTGTTTTTGAGTTCCACCTAAATAAAACCGACAGATGCGAACACTGTCCATGAAGGACAGGACAACACTAATTAAGAAAAAGCTTATGAAAACAAGGCAGGGAGAAACTTCCTTGTGCTTTTCTTTATT